CTCTCTCTCTCTCTGTCTCTCTCTCTGTCTCTCTGTCTCTCTCTCTCTCTCTCTCTCTCGCTGTTTTTTGTTTCTGATGGTTTCCAACCATGGTATATGTAGAGGAGGAAAAATAGCTTTTTCTTCTACCCTTCTAGGTTTTTGGCTGGGCCCCTCTAACAAAAGACAGATGAACAAGAGAAAAACATACAAATTTATTTAATATAAGTTTTATGTGAAATAGGAGCCATTCATAAGGAAATGAAGACCTGAAGAAGTGGTTAAACCTGAGTGTTTTTGTACTAGGTTTGATGGAGAGTGGACAGTTGTAGAAAAATATGATAGAACAAAAGAGAGTATGAGCTAAATGTAGTAAACTGGGGGAAACAGCAAGGCCTGTTTGTTCAGATTCCTCTCAGTATCCCTCAGCCTTTGCAGATAAGGATGCTCCTGTCATCTCAGCATAGGAGGTCCCCTCTCACACGAGGATCTTATGAACTGCCTCAAGGGAAGGTCAGAAAATCCTTCCTGCATCTGCCATTTCTCAGATTCCTTCATCTTGAAATATTCAATATGCCAAGGTGCCATATGTTGGGATAGTGTGTCCTGAACCCCATCATATCTTGTACACTTTCATGCTTTGTAAATTTTGGATTTAGCATTTCCCCTTTGACTGGACCCTGGACTTTATCTGCTATCCTAGGCACACAAAGCAATAGTTAAAATAAGAGTTCAAGAGTTAACAAAAGCCATTAGGGCAAAAAGCCTTTGCACTATATTATTTCCTGCTATTCTTCACTTTACTTTGATGTCTTTATTTTTAAAGAAGTTTAAAAAATATTTTATTGAGTATTTTAGATGTTTCAATCTCCAGTTTAATTTGCTGCTTAAGACTGACTCCAATTTATATCTATATCTGTTCAGCATTATTTATAAGGTAGTTCATCCTTTCCTACTACTTTATGATTCTCTTTATATTATACTATAAACATGGTTTATCCTTCCATGTATTTAGGTTTTATTTAATTACCCTCAGTAGTAGTTTTCTGGGTAGAAATCTTGAACATTATGGTTAGATTTAGTCTTACATAGTCATTGGGTTTTGATGTAACTTTAATTATATTTTTATTGAGGTATAATATAGATACAATAAGATGCACAAATCTTAAATGTACAGTCTGATGAGTTTTGACAAGTGTAAATACCTCTGTAACCACCACTCCATTCAGGATATGGAACATCTGTCACCTCAGAGAGTTCCTTCATGCCCCTTTACAGTCAATTCATTCATCCCCCATTTTAGAGGTTCTGATTTCTATCATCTTATATTAGTTTTGCTTATTGCTGGATTTAAAATAAACAAACCAATACAGTATATATTCTTTTGTGACTGATGTCTTTTATATGACATAATGTTTTTCAGGTTTTTTCATGTTGTGTGTTATCAGTAATTTCCTTTTTACTCCTGAGCAGTATTCCACTGTATCTATTATGGAACTTCAGATTGTTTGAAGTTTAGGGCTAATCTCTCATATTACTACATATACATTTTTCCTACATATCACTACATATGCAAAGTCAAATCCCTTGACTTTGAAATGCAGCTGCATTCTCCCAGCGTTCCTCAATCTGAATTTTACTTTTATGTAAGTACTTGGATTGACATCATACTTACATTTATAATTCTGTGCTAAAGAAAATTAATATTTGTGTATTAAAAGTTAATCATCCATGGAAAAGTTAATTTCCATACCCTGAGGTTCTAGTATCAACTTTGGTTCATGAATAAAGTCATTTTCTAAAGATTGCAGACAGAGGTAAACTGTCTTCTAGCAATTTTCTTTACATGAAATGAACTGCTGATAAGAATATGCTTTCATCTTTATTGTGGGTTATCAATGACCAGAACCTATAGCCAAGCTTTCATTAGTGGAAAGCGGTAATGACCGCCTGAATAATTAATCATGCAGCCTTTTCAAGCAGCCATGATCATTGGCTTCCCATCTCCCTAAATAAGCATCTAATTGAACTTTCTGCAGCTGTTTGAAGTATAAATTGATTCAAGGAGGGAAATTTAACATGGGTTTTCTTCATACTTCCTCAAACAATGTTCCAGAAGGAGGAACATTTATACTCCTCAGTGGGAAGTACTCAATCACACTTCTAACAGTTGTGTTTATGCCCTTTAGTTGCTGATCCTCCACTGGATATATTCCTGATTAAATGCAGCCAGGGGGTTTTGCTTTTTCAACAACTAGAGTTTGAAGCAGTGTTCTTGCAATTAAAGAGATATTGGTATTCAGAACAGGCTTTTAAAAGAGACATTCTTATTGAACCTTTGGTTACTTGAATGAACACTAGATGTAAGAACATAGCAGTGTTTTTCTTTAGTGCCTAGTGAGGTTGCTGTCATCTTAGAGGTGACATTAACCACTGGCATAATCAAGATATAGAGCTAATGCACTTATTCAGCATTTTAAAAAGTATCGTGTGTCTTACTGAAGAGGAGATATTTCAGTTCAGGAGTCAGAAGTTGTCAAGTAGGCTTTTCCCCTAAGAGTGTGGTGATGTATTGTTATTAAATATACAAGCAGTCTTAATATTAGTACTTCACAGAGCAGCTTATGGTCATTTATGTATTTTACTCTAATAAACCATAAAGAAATTATTTTTTCTCCTAAGGCCAATAAGGGAATATCAAAATATAGTATAGTAAGTAATGGAATGTGATATGATATCTTGAAACTGCTTAATAATACATATCTGAGTATACCTATGCAGACTTACCTGCATAAACTTTGTTTCAATTATGTGATTATTATAAATGCGTGCTGTTATAATTAGAAAATCTAACAAAA